TAGTACTTGTATTTTAGTGGAGTGAAGTTCTCACTTCGTATCTACTAAGATACACACACTGTACCACTTGGGTTATGGTTTGGGAACCTATATAGATGTGTAACGTGGTTCTGTAACCCTGTCCTGCAGATTGGCAGGGACCAGATTTCTTGCTGCACATCTCGTGCAATTTCTTAAGCGCTTCCTTTTCTTCTGCTTGAGAACATCTAGTGGTCCATCACTGAGGAACTCCTCTCTGGGGCTGTGAATGCTCCTCAGCCCTGTCAGCAGACCATCACCTCCCCTGGCACCACTCAGATGCAATAACAGGACTCCAGGCTCAACTTTGTTCCATCAGAGGAGCAAATGATGGAGAGGAGTAGAATTTTATTTAATCTGACCCAGTTCAGTGTATTTTGGGGAATTCCTCCCTCTCCCCACAGCTCTCTGGCATTCCCCAGATGGGAATGAGCTTTGATCATTTGGCCTGTAATAGGGAACAGCTCCAAAGCAGGGCTGCGTGGGAATGGTGTGGGTGACATATAAGCTCAATATGGAGATTGGGACCATCTCGCTATTCCTCCTGCTTCAATTTCTATTTATTGTTTTTTTTCCCCTGGTGAGCTTCTCCAGCATCCATGCAGAGATTTGTTATTCAGCTTGAGTATCCTCTGGGCAAGGTGCAAGATGTCCTGTCACTTGGCTTTTCTAAGATAGGTTTCCAAGGTTTTGTCCAAGGAAGATGACTTTGAGACCTATGTTCTTTCATGAGGAAGAATGAGATGGTGTTTCCCCAAATGCAAAATCATGTTCATGGTGATGCAACCACAAGCAGGTTGCCCGGGTTGCCTTCAACAGGAGCTGCTGTAACCTCGATCCCTCAGGTCTGCAGTCATGAACTCTGGTGGTTTCATGTCATTCGGTACCCTCAGAATGATGTTTTTGAGGAATGAAGTCACCGGCTGGGTTCATTTTAACCTCACAATATGGGTAAGACTCTGTCCCCATGTGCTTAGCCTTGTACAAAAAGAGATTCCCCCGTTCTGTGTAATTAATTTACAGTGGATGTCTCTTTTCTGGTGTGCGTTTGAACTCTTTCTTCTTTGTTCATTGTAAAGGGCTTAACGGTTCCTGTTCCTTGATTCTTTCATCGGTGAAATGTTTTGGAAGAGAGGGTAGAGTCCCCTTCTGACCTGCCCTGGGTGGCCCAAGCCTGTAGACCTTGCAAAGACATTACTTTTTTGGCCTGAACACAAGTCTCTCAAACCTTTAGCCTGGCTAGATGCTTTGTACAAACAGGCGCATACTGATCTGCTCTATTCTCTTGTGATTTTCTGCTCAAGGGGCTGTACTGTAGGTGGCTTGCTGTGTTTGCTGCTTGCCTTGGTAGTGGAGACAGTGCAATAAACGAATCCGACAGTACTGAGGCCAACACTGTGCTTGGTCGTTCCAAGAAAACGATCCTGAAATCTGGTTGAAGAGATTAAAACCAAGAAGAACTGCCTGTGTCTTTCCTCTAAAGCTCCGTTCTCTTCTTTGTTTCTTTTTTCTTCTGTAAGACTTTGTTCATTCTTCCTTCCAAAGAAGTTTGTGGCATTGGTATGTAAACTGTGACCTGCGATTACAGAAGGTACGGCTGCTTTTACAACAACCATGGGGTGAAGCATTGCATTCATTCCTCCTCGGGCTCCTAACAGCCAAGGGCTGGAGCAGCTTTCTTCTGAGCTGTGTTCTTGATCTCATTTCATTTCTTCCGTAATACAAATAATATGATCTCACGCGTCATTTCACTTCTTGGATGTCAAGTGCACTGTTAATGCAGTGGAGGTTCCAATCCATTCTTTTGATGGGAGTTATGGTTCAAGCAAATGTTGGTTCAAGGCGCTACCGTTGTTGTAATGTGCGGTGTTAAAGGGCAGCATCACTCCATAACTCTCCCAGCCTTCCTCCCCCATGGTTCCTCAGTAAGAGACAGCTAAAGGTGAGCTGCTAACGAGCAACCTTGTCTTGGGGTGAAATCTGTCTTGGGTCGTTCACGAGCAGTTGACAGTGGTGATAAATTCAGGAGGCTTGTGAAAACATTCGAAACCCAGTCACAGGCATTTTCTCCTGAGGATGTGAAATTCATGCTTTTGGGAAGACCTTGAATTCCACAACTCCGTGTGTGCTTCTAAATAGATTCCTAGCAGCTGCAAAGCCCTTACTCCAAAATAGAAGTTTTCTTTCACTGCAGTCTTTTCAGGGTTTCTGTTTTCCAGTGTTCCTCCAAATATAAGCAGTAATATGACACGACCCCATCCTTAGAGCTTAGTTTGTTGGGTACCTCAACCCGGGGATGTCTGAGACACAGAGCTGCCCAGGGCAGTTTCACCTCTTGAGAGGATGCTCAGACACTGTTTCTCACATCTAAATGTTTTTAGCTTCTCAGGTATGTGCTTTTCCAAAGCTGGGGGCGTTTTAGGATTGATGTGGCTTTTGGGATAATTTTTCCAGATGAGACAGTGGGGTGTAGAGCAAATGTGTAAAGATGATTTATCCCTTTGCAGATCAGTGTCAGAAAGCTCATGTTAGTCCTCCCTTGCGCGTGTGCTGGCTCAGGCAAGCTGCAGTCAAATTTTATAGCAACCCTACATTAAAATGCCTTTACAGCTAGAATTAATTAAAGCAGTTTTTGAGGGTTAAATATAACCTCACTTTGGACTATTTGCAGCCTGAATATTGCAGCGTTGGGCAGTGGAAGTGGCTGGAAGCTGAGCAGCTCCTACCTTTGTCCACTCCCTGTGCAGAAGAGGCAAAGTCTATAAGCACAACCATGGATGGTTCCTTCTGGATTTGATTCGTGCTTTTCCAAGTCTAAAACATTTCTAATCTAAATCTAAAATCCAAACGTGAACAATCAAGTACATAGTTTCTCTTTCTTATTTTTTATTACATGTTTCTATTAATAATATTGGCCGAAAGAAATGATTTTACAGCCCTATTTGCTATTGTCCTGCAGCAGTTATCACTTGACTGATCACTGCAAAGATGAGCGATGGTTTCAATCTTAGAGCTCTCCTGGCACCTGGAAATATTAAAAAGCAAAGCCATAGATGTCTGGAAACTGGCTGCTGTGCCCCTGGAGGTACCGGTGTCTGTATTGAAGGATGTTCTCCATCCTGAGATTTTAATGGAAGGTGGAACAAGAAACCTGATAAATAACCCTTCTTTGGTTTCCACAAATAAGGCAGTTGAGGAACAGGGCTGAATTCCTGTGTCTAATTCATTAGTCTATTCTCATTAGAGCCATAGGGGCTGCTCACAGGACTGGGCTGCTCTAGGAGGCCTTTAAGAATGGGATTGCAGTGATGTGTTTTCCTTGGTTTGTGGCATCTGCTTGAAAATGAGATGACTTTTGGAAAGAGACACATTGAAGGAGAAGACCAGCTAGCATGATGTGACCGTGCTTAGCATTTAAGGACAGCACAGATCCTTTAGTACCTCTGTGTAGTCATGGAGACAGAAGGCAAAATCTACCTTCCTTACTGCTTAGGCCTCAGCTTTGTGGAGCTGCAAGAGCTGGTTTGAGGGCTCCTGTATGGTAAAAAACAGAACAGTTTGGCATTAATGGGCTATATTTAAGTTAAAAAACCTGTACCTTGGTGTATTTTTTCCCTCTTTCCTCTTTTTTTGCCCTTAAACATGGTTGAATCTCAAGACAATATTTTGTTTCAGCGTGCACCAATCTTCAGTGTTTGCAGGAGCAATAAAACTCAGAAGGCAGAAGCTCCCTTTTGAGAATATGAAGATGAATGTGTTGAATGTTTCATAGTGTTGAATTGTGGCTTCACAAATTAGGTCCCTCCGATTGCATGGAGAGCAGGGATAAAGCCACTACTTCTGTAACTAAAGAGGGTGAAAATTAGGCAACGTTGGGCAAACCAACCCCAGGAGCATCATCAAAAGAGACACTTGAATATGTGCAGTCATTGGCTTCATGAGTGCTACCAAGTAAAAGCTATTAAATGGCGTGAAGAGCTGAGGTTCTCTAATGTAGAATCATGCAAGATTCATTCTTTAATTTGAAGAAGTTCCTTACTGTGAGGGTGGTGAGGCACTGGAACAGCTGTGGCTGCCCCATCCCTGTCAGTGTTCAAGGCCACGTTGGATGGGGCTTGGAGCAAGCTGCTCCAGTGGAAGGTGTCCCTGCCCATTGCTGGGGGTTGGAACTGGAGGAGCTTTAAGGTCCCTTCCAACCCAAACCATTCTGTGATTCTAAGTCCCCCTCAGTGGTTTGAGACTTGGTTTAAATAATGGCTTAGAAGAGAAACAAACGTCTTTACTATGAAACTTTGGCCAGATTACACTGGAAGGAGGGAAATGTGGCCTTGGAAATATTCTCTTGGCTTTGGAAACCAATGGTGTTCAGTTGTCAGATGTCTTCATCCAACAGAAATAAATATGCAGCAGAACGGCCGCGATTCTTCCTATCTGGGGTGACCGTGCTGGGGCAAGAAGCACACCCCAGCAGATAATGCACAGATCGGCTGCCGAGTAATTAATGACAGGGCTGGGCATATTTTTTTGATGAATGCTTATGGGGCCTGGTGACAGGCGTGAAATTAGAAAATTCCTTCAGCGCCCTAAAATATAAATAGCTTTCGGAACTGAAAAGAGTTTCACAGCTGAAGATTTTATTGTGTGGAGAGGAAAAACTTTTCCACCCCCATCCCCCCTTTTCTTCTCGGCGAGTTGTTTGTCCGTTCACAAAACAAATACTCTGAAGCCCAGTACGGCTCATGGGAATAAATTTCAGGTCGAATTAGTACAGTTTCCTTGCTGTCAGGACGGTGGAATTAATGGTGTTTTGATGACACGAATTTTGAAGGGCGAACAAAGACGCTGAAGGGAGGGAGACATGACTCCTTAGAAGCGCGGTCCTCCTCTCCCCCAGCCTCTCTTGTCTTCCCTGTCATCCGTCTGCCAATCTCCCTGTCCATGGTTAGTTAAAGGCGCTTTTTATCCTCTTTTCTTTCCCACAGAGTTTGCCAGATCCGGCCCAGTGCCTGGGTTCCAAGGGGACACGCTGCAGTTGGCCTTCATCGACTTGAGACAAGTAAGTCTTTGTGTTTTTGTTTTTTGTTTTTCTTTTAAGATGTGTGACTGAAGACCATCAGGTCTTAAGGAAAAGGAGAGGAGGGGAAACGGCGTCAGTGATTTACGCCAGAGACCTATATTTCCCCCCTCCTCCTCCTCCTGCCTACACTCGAAGCCACCTCCTTATTGAGCTCTCCTGGAGATGATGGAGGTGAAAAGGGCTGGTGGTACGGGGGTGAGAAAGACTGACCCTGGCCGATGGGATCCATTGTGCTCCCGGTGGCTTCTGCCGACGCAGCTAAAAGATAACTGGGCGACTCTCGCAGCTGACGCCAAGCAGGTGGTGCTGACAGAGAGAGCAGTGATGCAGAGACCGCCCGCCTCGAGGACCTTTGTTCACAGATAATGCCCACAGAGGCGTTTTGCGAGGGCGAAGGAATTTGCATTTGGGCTTGTGTGGGGAGGCTGTGCCTGTGTGTGCATCCGTTGGTGTCCGTCTTTGGCTCGGCAACGTCCCCCCCTTCCCTGGTCCCCTCTTCCGCAGATGGTCCCCAGCCATGAATGACAAAGTGGCTGTTGGGGAAGATGATTGGGGAAGGCTTCACCCATCGGTGCCCACCTCTTGAGGGGGCCCCGTTAGAGCCAAGTTGACCATAGCAGGTACTGAGGCATTTGTGGGGCTTGGCAAGCCAATTTAGGGAAAAGGGCCATTCTAGTGAAAGTCATTTGTTTGGGGTAGAAATGGGCATTATTGATACATTAGGCTGGGGGGGGAAAGTGAGGTGGTCCTGTCATCTCTTGGCACTGAAGATGGATGGGTTGGATAGAAAGTCTGAATGAAGTAAGACTCAATGACTGATGCTTCTCTCCTATTAAAACAATCTTTTTTTGTCTGTTAAACCCCCCTGGCTTTGTCCCTCCTGCCATCATGATGCAGTGCCTCTTGTTTCCAGGGTTGACGTAGTTTGCATTCTGAAAACTTTCGGGTGCCGAGGGTATTTCTTCCATCTGCATAATCTCTTGTATCGATGATCTCCTTACCACTGGGACTCTGATTCATGCTGGAGCTGCTTTTAACCCGTAAGGGTTTGAGAACTTCTCTGAATCCAATTGATGTGCAGGGAGCAATCTGTCATCCCAAGACACTTCTGCAGAGCAGCAATAAGTTTAATAGCATCGAGATGCCACAAGTTTGCTTTTAGGACTAGGACCTGCCAGCAACTGCCAAATTAGTTTGCAAAATGGTCAAAATAGCTACGTGGGAAAGGTGTGTGTTACCACTGCTCTGCGTTGACACTTTTATCTTCATTAGCTTCTTGGCACTTTATTGACCGCAGTACGCAACGCGCTTGCAACCTTCTGGGTAGAAGGAAATGTGGAGGCTTTGGTCCTTTTCCAAGCAGGAAAACATGAATGCAGGGATTTTGAAGAGGAAAGCTGTGGCTGTTTGAAGAATGAAATGCCTTAAAAATACTCAGGGAGGTTCAGCTGCTCTGAGCCAGTGCATTAGCAGTGAAATGTTTGTATGGTTTATAAGTGCAAAATGCAGCCAGATGAATTCAGCTTGGGTGAGGAGAAAGCTTAACGGTAGCCCTCAGTTCTTCCTCTTCTTCAGATGGTCTTCTTTGTGCATGGCATTTTCTTCTGGGAAGGTAGTCCTGGCTTTTTTCCTTGCATTTAAAGATAATATTGCGAGGAGAAAGGGGAGATGCTCTGGCCTGTTGGGTTTCAGGTGAGGACAGAGCATCTTAGATCTTCTGGATAACAGGGATGCTTGTTGATGCCAAGTATTGTACAGATAATTGACAGCACCTCATCGCTTTGTGTAGAGAAGAACCCACCTATCACTGGCTTATTGAGCTTACAATAATGTGCAAAGATGAGATAGTTCCCACCTCACTTGCTCCTGTTGCTAACCTAATCCCATGATATGTAACATGTCACCAGACTCCATCTGCGTGAAGCTGTTCCATTGCTTCCACCACTGTGGTGCTTCTTGTAGGATGGCAGCTCCATCTGCAAGGCCTCGAAGCAGGGGATGGCTGGAAGGGTGGATGGATGAAGGTCTTTAATTTAGTTCTCCAACTTGTTTTTAATTTGTTCTTTCTGGACATTGCGTTCTTTCTCTTTTAAGCTGCTAAATGTTAACACAATATTGACTTAAAGCTGAGAGTAGGGAAAAAGATGCCACCCTGAAGTGTTTGTGTTCCTGGCTGGTTTCTTTCTCCTTGGGAGGGACTGTGAGCATAGATCATGCAGGGGTGTTTCCAACCTGAAATCCAGACACTCTCCAAATGTTAAAAGTAATTTCAGGTTTATATTTCAGGTAGGTTTATACTTACCTTGGAGCTGCTCTGTCAACTAGCGTGGCTTTGCGCAGCTTGGTTATGTAGGGAAGAAAAATGACTGCGCAAGAAATGCACCAAGTAAGGAGATGAAAGAGATTTCCCCCTCCCTTCCCAGTGTATTTCAGTGCGAGCTGTTACAGAGCAATTGCAGATGGGAGACAGTTTTCAAAGTGATGTGGGATAATTAAGGGCATGACCAAAATTAATTCTTAGTACAATAAAATAGGAAATGGTAGAAAACCGTAGTGATTGGTTTGTGCCTTGGATACAGATCCTTGTGCTAGAAAATAAGCCCTATAAAAATGTTGTTGTCAGGAGCATCAGAGTTCTTCCTTGTTCAGTGCAGCAGATTAAAGGGTAAAATCCCTCTCTGCGTTGGAAGCCTGATTTTTCACCTTGTGCTCAGGGAAACTGGAGCAATTCCATCACTGTGTGGTAAAGAGGAAAAGAGCTGTAGAATCCTAGAATGGTTTGAGCTGGGAGGGACCTTAAAGCTCCTCCAGCTCCAACCCCTGCCATGGGCAGGGACCCCTTCCACTAGAGCAGCTTGCTCCAAGCCCCTGTGTCCAACCTGGCCTTGAACACTGCCAGGGATGGGGCAGCCACAGCTTCTCTGGGCACCCTGTGCCAGCGCCTCAGCACCCTCCCAGGGAAGAGCTTCTGCCTAAGAGCTCATCTCAGTCTCCCCTCGGGCAGGTTCAAGCCATTCCCCCTTGTCCTATCACTACATGCTCATGAGTCAAGCCCAGGGAATCAAAATTGCTATTCTGAGCAGACAGTAATTTTAAAAGAGGACTTTTCTTCTCATCCTGGGACAATTCTAACTCCATAAATACCTTTAATGAAGTGATAAAGTCAGCCAAGTCGCATCTCAAATCCTTCTGTAAGAGCCCTTTTATAACAAGGGTCTGAAAGCAATACTCAAATATTTAAGGCTTTACAAGGAAGCAACAGTTATTTTTTCCCCTTAAAGTTTAAACTTTGCTGTTACACCCTGTGCTGTATGTTAGAAATCTGAAATAGATTTAGTTCCATAAATAACCTTGCTAAAATATGAAAGGTGCCTAAATAATACAGTCTTCTGCATCTTTCTTTCCAAAGTGACTTAGGCACTTCTGTCCAAACACTGTTGAATGTCCAAATACCACTGAAGATCTCCAGGAGATTTCAAATCAACCCCAAGGTTGCGCATGCAATAAGTCCCCTGTTCTCTCCGCAGCTTCTGGCCAGCTGGAAATGTTTTAGCTTTTCATTTTCATGGGTTTATTATACGAAAGTGAGCTGAAGAGGAAGGTTTTATGTTTGTCTGTGAAGTCGCTGCACTCCACAGCCACGCTGATCTCTCCTCAAAGCCAGATCGACACTCGTGGCCGCCCGCCAAGGAAAATCTGTCTCCAGCACTCGAAGAATTCCACTCTGGGCTCTAGCAAGGGAAGGCGCTCGATGGATTTGAGCTCCTCACTTTAGGCCTCTCCATCTGTCCAGTGATGTATAAACGCTGTGTGTTGAATTTCCTCTGCAAGTGCTAAGTAGAGGGAGATGCAGCGAAAGGCAGGAGGGTCTTGTTGGAGACATGTGGATGTGCATGGAATGGGGACAGGGAGGTTCCACTCTTCTGCCCCATCATTCTTCTGCTTTACGTTATGGTCGTGACTTGACAGTGGTTGTGAATTTAAGCATCGGCTCTTCAAACCCCGTCAGTGAGGTTAAGACAGGCAAGTGCTGTCATTAGTTGTGGAACAGCTCTTCTGCCTACTGCTTGTCCAATAGCAAACACTTTGTGTGTCTTTTTGCTGTGTTCAAAACCCAGTTGTGGTTATTGTGGGTTTGTGTTGGATGCTGGCCATCTGCGGAATGAGAAGGTCTTCCTCTGATGCATTAATTTTTCCCTATTGCCTCTGATAGAGATGCTTAATAAAACAGTGTTCCCCTCAGGAGAGCAGTTCCCTTAGATCCCTGCCCTGTTCTTCCCTTCATATGGGAAGAAACCTATCTCTTCTGCGTTGTTTGCATCATTACTGGAGGGTGTTTTTTATTCACTTAGAAGATGAAATACAAAGTTAGGCAGGAACTTTTAGCCATGTGGAATGCGCAGCTGTTCTATCTTTGTGTCCATCTTAATTTCCCTCAATGACTTCTGAACCTTCTGGCCATGTTTGGTTGGTGGGCGTCAAAGGTGTAGCAGCCCTACATGTTTTTCTGCACACGTGAGCCAAGATAAAGAAGCTGCAGTGTGAACTCATCCTTTAGATTCAACCTTGAGAGAGATGCATGGGGACATCGGGATTTCTTGGTTCTGTGCTTGGTTTTAAGGAGCTTCCTGCTCAGAGAGCAGCATCTATGAGGTTATGTTGATGGATACAGTAATGCTGGCAGTTGTGGATATCCAGCTTAGCTTCTTATCATAACATCACATGATAAATAAGGTTTTTGAGTCTGCATCTGATTTGATTGTTGGCTGCTTTAAAGGTGCTTGGTGGCTTGGACTTGTGCAAGGTGAGAGGTGTAACCCTGTCTCATTGCTACCATGCAGTCCAGTGCTTCCATACCCAGCCCCAGGCATGGTGACCAGGGGGAATCCTTGCAAAAGTGGGCTGAAGAGCCAAGGCCTCATGGGTCTGTGCCTTGATGTGACACTGCAAAGCGCTGGCCACCCCTCTACTCTGTTACC